ACTCCCAACCTCTGGCTCTGCAGTGACTGAAACTACTGAGCTATCCAGCCAGCCAGCCAGCCAGTCACTCATAGGGTCACCATAAGTTGATAACATATGGCAACAATAAAAATGTGTTGTAAGGTGCCAAACACCAGCACTGACCCCTGCCCAGTCAAAGGTATTAGAAGGCTACAAAACTGCAGGGGAATGCAGTATTGGTGAAAGCTAACCCATCCATCATTCCAAGAGTGGACCAACTCATTTGGGACCTGTCAGAGATGTTGGGTGTCACAGAGCTGCAAACAGAGGAGTATATTCTGGGGGCTGAAGTGGACATCATCCCTTTTCCTCAGCCTCTGCCCCTGGACACAGGAACCCTGGAACTGGAATGGATGCAGTCCTTCTTTCCTTGCCTCTGAATGCCCGGAAGCTGCCCAAGAACTCTTGCCAGCACTCATCATCCTTCCCAGATCAACACAGCCAAAGCACAAAGAATGGGCTCCAGCTCCTCCAGTGCTGACAAGAAAACTAGGCCACAGCTTGAAAATGGCAGGAGGAGACACTTAACTCTTTGGGGTGGTGAGGTTTAATTGTTTTAATGAGCAAATTGACCAATTAAAGCTTTACCTGAGTACCTGGTGTGGAACATTTTTTATAGTGCCAGCCCTTAACAAGAAGGACACACTTGTTTTCATGTGGAATGTAGTCTTCGAGATGTTTCCGGATTGCAGCTCTATTTGACCAAAATCAATATAGCCTGTGGTGAAGCATCACGAATTTAGAGGCCCAACCATGATCATGCCTGCTCTGATGAGTGACAGCTGTTGTTTATTCAAATAATAATTGATATAGCTAGCACTTCCTTCAGCATCTCAAAAAGGCACACTATATATCAAGGTTTTGCTCGTATGCAAATTCTGTCAGTCAACAGGAAAAGAAAAACAGGTGATTTTGAATCAGTTAAAAACCTCTAGCCTGTTGGAAACCCCAACACACCTCTGCTTTTTGAGCTCATCAACCCTTTCAGTAGCCATACTAATTCCTATGCTTCAGGGCAGTACTGTGAAAGGAGTATGTTCAAGTGCATCCTTGAAGCAAACAGCCTGCCCATTCCCAAGTGTTGTTCTATGTAGCCACCTAGAGGTTATGTGCAGATGTTGCCCTAGAGTGTATTACTGAATGAGTGAAGTTACTGAATGGAGCACCTGGCGATATACGTGAACTTGTGTATCAAAATGCAAGGGAAACTGATGCTGTGAAAACACATCAAGGAAGAGAGAAAGATGGGAGCCATCGTGGGGCTCAGAGCAGCAAAGCAAATGATCAAACTAGGCAATGCAACAAACGATCATATGGTGTCTATTCGCGAAGGCTTTCACAGCCGGGATCTAATGGTTGTTGTGGGTTTTTCAGGCTCTTTGGTCGTGTTCTGAAGGTTGTTCTTCCTAACGTTTCGCTAGTCTCTGTGGCTGGCATCTTCAGAGGACAGCACTCTGTGCTCAAGAAGTGCTGTCCTCTGAAGATGCCGGCCACAGAGACTGGCGAAACGTTAGGAAGAACAACCTTCAGAACACGGCCAAAGAGCCTGAAAAACCCACAACAACCATATGGTGTCTATTCAGTTCTGATTTATAATGATACTTTTCTAGGTGTAAAGTTTATTCAGAAAAAGTTTGCCATTCCCTTCTTCATGGGGTGCTGTGCTACTAAGTAACTTGCCCAGGCTACACAAGCTGGCTCTTCTCTCAGTAGGCACAGCTCAAAATCACAGCCTGGCATCCCATGGGAGGGATTTCAACAATCCAACTGTTGCAGTGATTATTTAACAGAAAATACACCTGATTGTCTTTTACTTTTCTGAGATGCAAATTGGTCTTTATTGTGACATGTAACTATTTCTCAATACGGCTAAGGGTGGATGAGTGAGAAGGATACCAGGCAACCCTATACATATCTACCCAGAAGCAAAACTCAGATATATCATGCAATTTTCTCCCAGACAAACTGCTACAGAAGTGTGATCAACACGTTGTTCTAGCCATTCCTACATTCACTTATATTTAAGGTAATTTGTGAAGAAGTATGTGAACAAGAGACACTTGATTCAGAGTATTGGGTTGATGGACTTGGAGGGAGGTGGTGACATTAGGATTGTGACTGAAAGTCATACTGTTCTGTGTACAATTTATAATGGAGCCTCCATTGTACCTACAAATATCATACACAGTTTCCTCAGGCAGAATTATGAATGAGCAGAGGATAGAGCTAATGGACACAATCCTCAGCCTATTATCCCATATGCAAGTTTCCTCAGTTTCAATGTGTTGGCTTAACAGAGAATTTTCTTTCTAGAGTTGAAGCTAGAACTAGGGACTGTTGTTCATTTTTGCTTTTGTATTTTGTAAAAATCTGCTTCCTTTTTAGCCTAGTCTTCGGTTCTTCTGTCTCAGTGCTCTGCGAGTTCATTCTGATTTGAATCATATGGCTTTCAGTGAAGCTCAGTCACATCATCATGTAAACAGAGGCTAATGTAATGGCATGTCCCCAAGTAGACATCAATTAAGGAGGAAATAACAGTACTGTTTTAATAATAATAATACATACCAGCTTCTTCAGAGGCCAGTTTGTGATCTGAAAATTCAACCCAGAAAAACGTTGGTGCCACATTAATTATATCTGCTAACACATGTTCAACTTGAATGTTCAGTTTTCACGCCTAATTGCATTGTCTTCAACCATAAGTATTAACAGCACTGAAGATTTATTTTCACCCTGGATAAAGAGGTAGAGAGTGCAATTATATTCTACCACAAATAATGTTGTATGTTTCTTTCTGTCTGAAAAAAAAATCACATAACTGAAATTTACCCTTGTTTCCTGCCATATGTCATCTGCATTGCACTGCCAAATCATTGCAGTTTTATTATCCTTACCATCTCATCCCTTCCCCATGACCCCACATGATTAAATTAGAATATACACAAAGATAATATAGTCCTCTTTTTTGCCTTAAAAGAGAATATTGGTAAATTCTTTCCAGCTCTTTGATTTTTGAAAAGTTCTAGAGAGGTAATGTTTACATGGGTTTGATTTCCTTCAGGAGGAGGCCATTGGAGACCTATTGGCCTTTTGTCCTTTTTAAATTCATTTACAAATATATAAGTTGGACAAAGATGGTGGCACAGCTTAAAAACCACTTCAGTAGATGGCCAAAGCCACTGTTTCCAGACAGGTACTGAAACAAAGGCAACCAGCTCTTCAGAATGCTTCTAGAACTTTCTCTGAGTTTTTTGTTTTGTTTGTTTTTGTTTTTCCAACTCCATCTCAGATTTGCTTCTGCTTGTCCTCACAGATAGCTTGTTCCATAACTGGCTGGCTGGCTAGAGGGTAAAATAAGGATGTCTTCTCCAAACATCTCCTATCTTTCTTACATACACGTTCTCTAATAAAATATGTCCCTGGTGACTTCGCTTTTGTCTCTTAAAAGGGCCACCAGCAGTACAGCTGGCTCCATTAATTCTCTCCTGTCCAAACCAGGATTTTCATACTTTATTTTACACCCAACATCATCCCACACTACACAAACTCACAGGAGATGACGAGACATTCTTCCCACCTGCCAGTCCAATGTGGGGTTACATATGGCAGAGCTCCAGATAAAGAAAATACTATTTGGTGTTGGCTTAAAACATAGTTCCTGAAAGTGAAATAAAACCTGTTGGATCTCCTTAAGAAAAACTTCAGTGTACAGCAAGGTCTCCCAACATTTTGTAGCCAGTCAAAGCTATCTTGATATTGTAAAGGAAATGACCAAAGGGCAAGGAGGGCAGAAGGAAGTCCAGAAACTCAAATACCATCATATAAGCCAACTAATAATACTGAAGCCAGAGTTTAGGATGTTAACTTTAAAAATAAATTGTTATTGTTACAATGTTTGAATAGTTGTTACATATTGCAGTGTTTAAAAAGTAGCATATTGGATAACTTGTATTTTTCCTTCAGTTTAAAAAAAGTATTGCTAAGAGAAAGGTAGAAAATTTGAAAAGCTCTGTTAAAATGCCTCTGAAATTGGCTTTAAAAGTAACTTTTCAAAGTAATCAGAAAATGTTAATTTTTGCATCAATAAAATGAATTTGATCCTACTTGTTACTTCACTTTGAAATGCAACGTTGAAACACACCCATTAGTCCAAGAAACTAACTGCTCCCAAATAACCACTTTGGTTGTAACTTATTACTTTCAGTCTCAGGACTGAAGTTTATGGAGCTAGGTTTTTGTAAATCCCAACTTTCCATTGTGAGCAAATTGGATCAGTAAATCTGTCACAAACCTTTAAGTGCAGGGAGAGGAAAGCCTATACTCTTCATTCTCAGTGTGCTTAATGTTTCTCCTTTCTCACAAATATGAATGAGGAAGATGTATTATTTATTATTTATTTATTTATTATTTGATTTCCTGTGTTCAGGACTCAATGTTTGAACTACCATGCACTTAGCTAGAAGTAATATAATGGGTTTTATTACCGAACAAATATGCATAGGACTGCATCTTCCTAATTGAATTCTTTATTACAATATTATTATGAAATACTAATTGTCAGAAAGCTGTGAATTAAATAGAGCCTTACTTTTCTCTCTCCCTGTCCAGAATGTTGTTCTCCAAGCCTTTAGAAGAACAGAAAGCATCTCAGATGATAAACTGGATACAGGGAGAAAACTGTAAGTTTTTGTGTGTGATGATCTAGGATTATACAGTAAAAATAGGAGAGGAAGCTATGAATTGAAGACACCTATTCTTTATATGCATAATAATTGTGTACAGATTCGATTAATTGTCTGCATTATAGGAAATCCATGAAACAATTCTTTAAATAGTTAAATGAGTTACAAACTGGGTTCTTACCATTACATTCATATTTTGTAAATATTGCTTTGATGAAATTCTATTGTAGTTTGGTTGTATGATGCAGCAGTTCAAATCTCTCTCTTCCCTTGCTTTTTAAAATATGATTGTTTCAGAGGATCTAGTAACACCAGTGAACCTGCATCAGTCTCAAAGGAGATCCCGGAAGAGAATCTGCACAGTAATGACACTGACGAAGCATTTCAAGGGGAATTTCCATATTGCACAGGAGAAATTGACTTCTTCACTTCTCGAAAGAAAAAAGGAAAGGTAACCCCACCATGTCGATGTCAAAGACAATAAGAACTTCTGCTGACATTTTATTTCCATGTTTTGTTCCAAAACATGGAAATGAATCTTATTTTTGCTTCATCTTTGGTCAGTATCTGCACTCAAGGTCTGGGTTGAGCTCCGAGAAAGAATTTTGCAAACACATCTGCAGAAATGAATATACCTAAAAAATTAGTAGAGAACTACTATGATGTAAGGGTCACATTATTGTAAATGGATTCAGGAGAGCTGTGTTCAAATCTCCGTCTAGGCAGGCATTGTCTATAGTAGACCACCCTTTGAATATTTCACATACCTCAAAAGCCCTATTGATGATGCCACAACTTGGAAGTGACTTGACATAAGAGTAACAATGACAATGAGTAGTCCTAGATACAATTATGCTTTCATTCACATATTTGTATCTTATAGATTGATTTTGTGTGTGTTTGTTCAGAGGTAGGTTTCATTGAGCTTGCTCAAACAGAGAAGAGGTATGTCTCTTTCATTGAGCAAGCAAATATAAACACAGCTTGCTCAAACAGAGAAGAGGTATGTCTCACTGAAATTTGTTGTGTTTATATACAACTACTATTATATACTAAGGACTGAAAACTAGATGATACAACTAACGTGCTGTCAGCTTCTAATTGTCAAGCTGGTGTTTCATACAGTTGTATCTTCAATCCTAAATGTGTATGTGGGCATTGATTTATTTTGGACATTAAAGAGCTATTTCAGCAGTCATTATCATCTAGATAAATTCAACAGTAACCTTCTTTGGTTGTACAGCGGTGTTCTGCTTGACGATGACCCTGCTTCACGATGAAATCGCTTAATGATGGGTTTTTTGTGATCGCTATAGCAATCGCAAAATGATGATTCCTATGGGTTTTTTTGCTTAACGATGAATAGTTCCCTGCTTCGGGAACCTTTTTTTTGCTGGACAACAATTAGAAACAGCTGATCGGCGATTCTCAAAATGGCTCCCCGCTGTTTTCCGGACCTATTTCCAGAAGACAGCGATTGAAAATGGCTTCCCCTATGGAGGATCTTCACAAAACGAGCAGGTATTTCCCCCATTGGAACACATTAACCGGTGTTCAATGCATTCCAATGGGTTTTTTACTTTTGCATGATGACAATTTCGCTTTACAGCGATTTTAACGGAACGGATTTATTTATTTATTTATTTATTCTATTTATACCCAGCCTATCTGGTCATTTCAACCACTCATTATCGTCATCATGCAGGGCACCACTGTACATCCTCTAATAGCACAAGAGACCGCAAGTGTAGCCTTGTTCACAGATGTAGGTACAGCTATCTAGTGACATTTCCAGTAGCTGAAAAATAAAAGTATCATCATAATCATTGTCATAAATCTATAGATTTACCTTATTATTTCCCTCTACTGCTCCACTGCTGTAATTGCTCACAGTCAGTCCAAGTAAATGTGTATAACCACAAAGCAATGCTGTGCTGAAAATTTCTTCTGTGATATTTTCAACCATTCACTTTCAAATTCATTAAAAAACACATTTTGGGAAAAAAGTCAAGAATTTCAACAGAGGAGAAATTACTGAGACATTCTGCTGGGTGAGGTTTACGATTCTTGTGCTTGCTTCACTTATGAGGTGGCTGAAGATGTATGTCAATGTACTGGCTTTTATTGTATCATCATCTTTGGAGCAGTTGGCAGCCTCCCCAGCCTTCCAACACATCAATCAAAGGCCAAGGAAAGACAACATGAAATAAATAATCCAACAGGGCTTTTTCAGGTCTGGAGGGGTGGGAAACCAGAGGATCTGCAGACTGATGAGGTGATGTGCAAGAGAAACACAAAAAAGCCAAACAAAATCAGCACTTATGGCCAGCTTGCAATGTTGTTGAAAACTCAGAATGTCACCAAAACAAATTCTGGGAATGAGGCAGAAAAATGGCCATCTCTTGAATTGGCAATAAGACTTTTTGGGATTTGGATGGCTAATTATGGCAGAACACTGGCTTCCCCATTTTACTAGAGCTGGACACAATACTGCTCTAGCTTGTGCCTGATATTGGATGTATAAGAAAGGAATAGTATTGTAAGCATCCTCTGCAATAGAGGCATAATGTATAATGATGTTTCCAAAATGTAATTTTTAAAAAATGACTGAAACATTTGTGTGACCAGCAAAGAAATCCTCCAAACCCAGGCTCTCCACAAGTCCCTGATGTAAGTTCTCCAGTTCCTGCCTTACGACGGGGACTTAGAAGGAGTCTGGGGCAAAATAATGTGGTATGGAAGCCCAACTACTGAAAAGCAAGGCAGTTTGCCGAAGCAACAGTCCAGACACAGATTTTTTAAAAGAGGTGATAATGCAGGAGGGTGCACTTGCTTCTGGACTTCCTATTACTCCTCTTCAAAACAGTTTGTGTGGGTGTGTTCTATCCCAGTCTCTTCATATTATCTAAACCATTAAAAAAAAAAAGATTGAAATAGCATGTGAGAAGCAACATGGCCCCCAGATCCTATAGACACAAGCACTGAATTGTTTACTTTTTTTGGGATTATATATCTTAGAATTCCTTGAGAAGCAATAAATTTTGGAAACTTTAGTCTAAAAAAAAGAAATTTCTTCTCTCTTTATATAGTCCTAGAGTTCTGATGTATCTTATCTAAAGGACCTTTTCTTGATTGCAGTTTATTAAGGTCCCTTGTGCCATCCATCCTGGAGTCATATTTGATGTCATGAGTAACAAATGGAATCTTCCAGCACCCAACCTGGTTGTCTCTTTGGTCGGAGAAGAAGAAAACTTCCTGATGAAACCATGGTTACGTGATACTTTAAGGAAAGGACTGGTCAAAGCTGCCGAAAGCACCGGTTGGTTCCACTTTTAGAACAATAGCATCTCTTTCACGTCTGTGTTCAATACATTTCCTACATGTTGTGAAACAGTAGATTCCTTGAAGATTCCACATACTAAAAAAGTGACTCTTGAAAAGAATTCAAAATTAGAAGGTTTAGAACATTGGTGATTCAATATGTTAAGCTTTCTGAAGATGAGGTCATGTGACTGACATGGAGCCTATTAGGAATTGAATTAGCATGAGTGAATTTGGGTTAAATATAACCTTAGTTTTAACTTTGATCCAATATTAAACAGGATGTGGCCTCAATAAATGTTCTCAAATTAATGATTTGGTTTCATTTGTGAAGAGTATTCTCTGTGCATAGATTTGGTCAGAATATGTTGAGTCAGTACTGACTCATGGCAAAAGAAATAAATAACTATGATCTCTCTGTCAATAGTATTGTAACCCAAAAGAAGAATAAGAACAATCTTATTATGTTTTCAGCTCCTTACTTTTGAGACAACCTTAGCAGAAAAATAACCTATGAATTCTGTTGTAGCAACGATGGGAAAGATACAACCCTCCAGGGGATGCCGGACTGCAACTCCCACCTCTTCCCAATTTTGACAATGTCAATTAGAGGCTGATGGTGTTTATAGACCAATTATGAGTCACACAATCCAAATCTCTGGAGTACAGAATAGAATAGCAGAAATAGGTAATACAATGCTACTCATGTTTGAATAGAAAAAATGCCTAGTGAATTTAGTGGGATTTACTTCTAGCTAGGCACAGGTCTGCAATCTCAAACTTATTCTGTCTTCCTCCTCATCCCTTGGAAACCACTAGAGCAGAGTATGTTTCTCACAACTCTGACATCAAAAAATGTGAGAAGTGAACAGTTCAAACTTAGGTTGAGAACATCTGACATCAAAAAATGTGAACAGTGAACAGTTCAAACTTAGGTTGAGAACAACAAGGAAAACCATGAGATTTTGTTGATATTTTTGGTATGGCCAAGTTCAACATCTGGGTTTCTGACTTACAATATCCTTATTCATGAACTTGCCATCCTAGTGCTATTTAACCCAACCTTTTTCAATCTGGTTCCAGCTGATTAGGGTCAATTTAAAAGACATATAGGAAAGTGTTGGCTCCACAGGAAATGCAGCCAAGATTTCAACTTTGCAAAAACTAAAACAGAACCCTACATTTATGCTGGGGACAGGGTGCTTGCTGTATTGCTATAGCTAACAAAACATATCTTAAGAATGGTGAATGGGTCTTTAGCATTATGTAACGACTGAAAACAAATTATTTCAGGTGCATGGATATTCACCAGTGCCTTGCGAGTTGGGATAACAAAACAGATCGGGCAAGCAGTCCGGGACCATATGTTAGCAAGTACTTCATCCACAGTAAAAGTAGTTGCAATAGGAATAACTTCGTTGGGAAAAATTCAGCATAGAGAACTTCTGGATAATGTTAAGGTATGTCTGTAATTTTTTTTCTCATTGACCAAAGCATGGAAGAAGAATGTTTAGAGGCTGCTGAAAATAACTAGAGTTGTAAAGTCCTATTTGCATGATGGTGATGAGATAATTGGCATGAAGGCTACCTAAAGCTGAAATCAGTTCTTGGATGTTATGAGACTTTAATTATATAACTATCCCAACAAGTGCCACAAGTAGGCATGTACATTGTTTTGGTTGAATTCCAAAACATTAACTGCATCAGTGTTATTTGTTGTCTCCATGGTGACCAGAATGCAGAGCAAAATGCCCATAGGTTCTCATGGTCTTGAGCAATACTTTTTACTAATCTTTCCAACACTCAAAGGGCTGAAATTCTTTTTTCTTTTTTTAAAAAATACAGTGTCTGAAATCCAGTAACAAGTCACAACTAGAGTAGGCTTGTTGAATCAATAGTGATTTGGTGAGTTCTGTGTAAATTGTTTTGATTCAGTGCACCTACTTTAGTTGCAGCTTACTATTGGATTTCAGCTAAACTGTGTTTAAAAGCAGAGGAAAGGAAATAAAAAATTTGATATTTTATATAGAAGATTCTGAACCAGTATCAAAGCATAAGGAGACTGATAGCTGCATCTGCCAATAAAGATTTATTTTGCATATTCCAACTGCTGAAGCACTGAGGAGAATTTCTAGGTGATATCATCAGTCTGGAGGAGCCACTACTACTACTACTGCTGCTACATAGCAATATGTAGTGAAAGACTTGCATCATGTGGCTTATTGCTATTGGGGGATTCTGAGTATTCTTTTTAGTTTGCAGGGTATGAAGTAGAAGAACCAGCAACAGAGAGAAATGTGGAGATATCGACTCAGTCTCAATATCCTAACTCTTCTCTTTGGTTTCCTTTGCACACAAACTATCACTTTGCATGATAAAATCACTCTAGAAGCATTAAAGGTAGAAAGGGGTGTATTTACTTACAGTTACCATTTTGTAGTTACAGTTCAAAGGAAAAACAGGGGAAAATAGAATCTCCATGCTATAGAGACACTCCATGTGTGTTGCTTGGTTGGAGGGTCTTTTCCAGGGAGTCTTCTCTTCTCATGAGATGGCCAAAGTATTGGAACCTCAGCTTCAGGACCTGTCCTTCCAGTGAGCACTCAGGGTTGATTTCCTTTAGAACAGATAGGTTTGTTCTCCTTGCAGTCCAGGGGACTCTCAAGAGCCTCCTCCAGCACCACAATTCAAAGGCATCAATTCTTAGGCGGTCTGCTTTCTTTCTGGTCCAGCTCTCACTTCCATACATCATTACACACACACACACACAAAACATAGCTTTGACTATGTGGACCTTTGTTGGCAAGGTGATGTCTCTGCTTTTTAAGATGCTGTCGAGTTTTGTCATCGCTTTCCTCCCAAGAAGCAGGCATCCTTTAATTTCGTGGCTGCTGTCCCCATCTGCAATGATCATGGAGGCCAAGAAAGTAAAATTCCATGTGCAGATTTGTGTGTGTGTCTGTGTGTGTGGAGAAAGAGAGAGAGAGAGAGAGAGGCTCTTTCACATTTTATGTCTTTTATTTAAATGTGAAAGGCCCATACCTATATTGGAGGTTGAACATCATCATGCCTTATAATAGCGCTGAGGATACATATGTGCATTTTCAAAGCCATTTTATATTTGTGTTGCATGTCACATTCTTCTTTTTAAACAAGCTGTTCTGAATCTCTCTATTCCATTTTTTTCTGGGTGGCTCTAATCCAGCTATTCTTTCAACCAGATTCCTTGTAAATTAGATTTTTCAGCATACCTCACACTTTCAAATTTGATCTATAGCTAGATTTTTTTCAGCTGTTTGTTTGTTATGAACTACCATGAGCATCTTACAATATGGGATACCATATTGTAGCCTCTTTATGAGTATTAATTTTCATTTTTCATAAGATTTCATATGTCCAACCACACTTCTTCGATTGAATGGAGTGGCTGTTCTCTGGGAGGAGTTCAAAACTGTTGACAGGATTGGTATGTCAGAGAAGGACAACAACAACAACAGAGTGTGTCCTCAGTAGGGAGGACATGTGTTCCTCTGACACATCCTCCCTGCCAACAGGTTTAAATTTTCTCAGAGAAGAGCCACACTATTCATCTAAAGAGGTGTATCTGGACTCATAAAGCCTATAAAACAGTGATTAGGGTCACACTTCACATTATGGCATTAGATCTGTATTTTATGCCTCCCACCAATCTTAGTTTATTCTTGCTGCTATACAGTGCTACTGATGAAGTTCATATTAACATCTGCTTCTTTTGTGTGTGTGTATTTTCTGAACTAAAAAAACTAAGATCATGGCCACTGGTCCCATCAGCTCCTGGCAAATAGAAGGGGAATATATGGAGGCAGTGACAGGTTTTACTTTCTTGGGCTCCATGATCACTGCAGATGGTGACAGCAGCCACAAAGTTAAGACACCTGCTTCTTGGGAGGAAAGCGATGACAAAACTGGACAGCATCTTAAAAAGCAGAGACATCACCTTGGTCTGCATAGTCAAAGTGATGGATTTTCAAGTAGTGACGACAGAGGATGAGATGGTTGGACAGTGTCATCAAAGCTACCAATATGAATTTGACCCAACTCCGGGAGGCAGTGGAATACAGGAGGGCCTGGTTTGCTCTGGTCCATGGGGTCATGAAGAGTCGGACACGACTTAATAACTAAACAACAAATAGTTTTGCTAGTAACAATTCTTATGGTTTTGTGGACCCCACCAACCTACCCCAAAACATCACTGGTTATATTCCCCATTTGCAGTTTTTTCACGGAGATCTCAGAGAGAGAGAGAGAGAGAGAGACTCGTGCACATTTTATGTCTTTCATTCACATTTTATGTCTTTTATTTAAATGTGAAAGGCCCATACCTATATTGGAGGTTGAACATCATCATGCCTTATAATACACTGAGGATACATATGTGCATTTTCAAAGCCATTTTATATTTGTGTTGCATGTCACATTCTTCTTTTTAAACAAGCTGTTCTGAATCTCTCTATTCCATTTTTTTCTGGGTGGCTCTAATCCAGCTATTCTTTCAACCAGATTCCTTCTTAATTAGGTTTTTCAGCATACCTCACACTTTCAAATTTGATCTATAGCTAGATTTTTTTCAGCTGTTTGTTTGTTATGAACTACCATGAGCATCTTACAATATGGGATACCATATTGTAGCCTCTTTATGAGTATTAATTTTCATTTTTCATAAGATTTCATATGTCCAACCACACTTCATCGATTGAGTTTTCATTTTTCATAAGATTTCATATGTCCAACCACACTTCTTCGATTGAATGGAGTGGCTGTTCTCTGGGAGGAGTTCAAAACTGTTGACAGGATGGGTATGTCAGAGAAGGACAACAACAACAACAGAGTGTGTCCTCAGTAGGGAGGACATGTGTTCCTCTGACACATCCTCCCTGCCAACAGGTTTAAATTTTCTCAGAGAAGAGCCACACTATTCATCTAAAGAGGTGTATCTGGACTCATAAAGCCTATAAAACAGTGGTCAGGGAAGAGGGGTAAATTACCCCAAATGGAATAAAAATTAAAATCCTGGGGGTAATGAGGACATGACCCTAACCCTCCTCCTCCTCCTCCTCCTCCTCGTCTGCCCAGAGGGGGGTCCCCGGCAGCCCGATCACCTCCTTCCCACCCCCTTCTCTGGCCCGGTGGCAACCGAACCACTGGCTTCCTTTGGCGGCGCCTCCACGCTGGCCAGCCAGGCCTGGATGAGCCTCTTGCCCTCTGTACGGCAGCTGTCATGGCGCTTCAACAGCAAGGCCCGCGGCCACCCCAGCAAGCAGCTGCCAGAGCCGGTGCCAGAGCGGGAGGTGGCATTGGATGCCCCTGGGGGGGAGCCACCTGCTGCTCTTCGAGTCCGTATGGCAGCTGTCGTGGTGCTTCAACAGCAAGGCCCACAGCGGCCCCAGCAAGCAGCCGCCGGAGCTGGTGCCAGAGCGGAAGGTGGCATTGGATGCCCCTGGGGGGGAGCCACCTGCTGCTCTTCGATGGCCAGTCAGGAGCCGCCTGCCAGCAGAGAAAGGGAACCACCCCATGGGGCCAAGGACTGAGCATGGCCCTGCCAGGCGGTGGCACAGAAGGTGTTGGCAGCAGCCCAGGCAGCGAGGCTTCGGTGGCAGAGCTCAACTGGCCATCCTCTCCGATGGCCACCCAGGAGCCGCCCACCAGCAGAGAAAGGGAACCACCCCACGGGGCCAAGGACTGAGCGTGGCCCTGCCAGGCGGCGGCACAGAAGGTGTTGGCAGCAGCCCAGGCAACGAGGCTTCGGGGGCGGCGCTCGACTGGCCATGTGTGACCAAGATCCTTACTTTCAAATCAAGGGGGTAATGTAGGCGTATATAAATTTTTTAGGGGATAAAAGGTAAAAAAGTTCCCTGACCCCTGCTATAAAATATAAAAACTAGTTAGTCTTGAAGGTGCTACAAGACTTAAGGGTTCTGTTGTGCTACAACAGACTAACATAGCTACTAGCTAGATTATCTTAAAATAAATTACACAATTGTCTAGGTCAGAGAGATACTGTGTACATTATAATCCTATGCACAGAGGAAATTCCCATTGCACTTAATGGAATATATTCCCATCTAAGTGTGTATGTTGGAGAAGTAACCTCTTATTGTTTTTCGTAGAATGGCAGCCTTATAAGCTACAAACCTGACAATAATATTCAAGGTCCTCCCTATTCTCTTGACAACCATCATTCCCATTTCATTTTGGTGGATGAAAAAGATCCAACCGAGCCAGATGCAACCATGAAGCTACGTCTCACTTTGGAGAAATACATATCCGAGCAGCGCACTGGCTATGGAGGTAGGGGGAAAACAGATGGGGCTTCAGTCTTCTTAGCATAGACTTATCAGAGTCAGAGGGAATTGCAGCTCCCTCTATACTTCAAATAAAAAATGTTTGACTGCAGTCCTGCACATGTCAGGTGAATAAATCCAATGATGGGAATGAGATGGCAACAGTCTCATTCTGTGCAGTACTGCAGTTTTTGTAGCCAGATAGTGTCCTAGCTAAAGTCCTAAAAATAGCTACAGTGGGGTCTTGACTTAAGAACGGCTTGAGTTAAGAACATTTTGACTTAAGAACCGCTCTCGTAGGAAAATATTGACTTGACTTAAGTACTTAGATTTGAGTGAAGAACTGAAAAAAACCCATGTGGGAGGCCTAGCTAAAATCCTAAAAATAGCTATGGGGCAGCATTTGCAATTTAAGAAAGCATCACTTTAAAGATGTAATTAGTGTCAGCAGCATTTGTAATTTAAGAAACCATCACTTTAAAGATGTAATTAGTGTCAGCAGGTGGCCACATGGATTTCTGTTTCTCCACACCTCCAAAAAAAAAAAGCTGGTTTCATGGTGAAAGATGTAGGTTCATGCCCTTTATACGAATAGCTATTCATTTGGACTCCGCAGTTTTAAATCCTATGCAGTGTTTGCTTTTTGTAGACCAGCTCTTGGGCTAAATTAAATGGCACACAAAATGGCCTGCAATGTACTTCTGTCATGTTTTCTTAAAATCAAGGGCTGCCTTGGGACACAACATATTTAAGTGAAGGAATGTGGGAAGCTGCCTTATACAGAATCAAAGCACCCATCCATCTTCCCCAATACAGTTTGGCCCTGAGCAGCAGTTCTCCTGTGTCTGGGGCTGGAGTTTTTCTTACCCTATATGGAGATAGCTGGGGTTGAACTTGGAACTTTTCACAAACATAACAAGCGTTCTACAGTTCAGCCACACCTGTATGGGGAAGGGAGAGAGTGACTTTATAGCATCACGTTCTCTCCATTTTTCTCCTGATGGTCTCTCCCAATGCTTCCTTCCTCATGTTTGCAAAAGGAGGTAAGGTTTCGAATAGGAGAACACTGGAGAGGATTAAGCAACACTTCAGCGACATTAACTCTTTTTAACTTAACTTTCCTGTCCTTTAAGGATATTTTTGGTATTCCTAAAAGGAATAGTTTCACATGACTGCATATAAATCTAGTTTTAGCTCTTCAGCTGTAGCTGCAGGAAGACAAATGTCCACTTCAGTAGCACTTTGTTATGACAGCAACTATAAGCAACAAGGCCGTGCTGTTAGTTCATGTAAAATAAGCCCAACTTCAATACCAAATACATGTACAATCCACTCACAAAAATGCCCTGTAAGCCAAAGTCCTCTCACAGTTTGCTAAGATTTGCAGGCTGCTGTACCAGTTCAGCTGCTTAGTAGTGAAATAATATTTTAGCAAGTAATTTTTAAAAAGAGGAAAAGACCATCTGGTCCTGCAAAATTCTAAAACACAACTGGGTTATATCAACTAAATATCTATTTGCTACTTACAAGTCAAAATCGACACGGATTCTTAAGTTCTACAGGACTCTGAATCCAGTTGGACACTGCAGATGCCCATCCTGATGAAGAATCTTCCAAGACTCAAGAAAAGCATGCCGGGTTTTGGTTTGGTTTTAGACTGCACATATTTTTCTAGTCTGTCTGTTGTACATCTATCAATCTGCTCTCATTCAACCCTATAGAACAAACGTATCCCTATCAACAAAGGAAGAATTTCAAACATCATTCAAAAGCTATATAAGTGTTTGGGTCATGAAATCAGACGTTAAACATCTTTAAATAACAAAAACATTTTCAATGTTTTGTTATTTTAAAAACCCAACTGCAGTCAGAGCAAGTGCTAAGGAAGTTTGGACACACAGATATACATGGTGGAAAAGGGGCACAGAGTGTTTTTGCCCCATTCAGTACTCACCGTCCATTAGAAGAGCTTGGGGGGAAAATGTAGCCATGCTGCAAGTGGGAAGCATGCAGATTGACAAGGAAAGAGATAGCATGGAGTCTCCTAAGGCCAGGCCATTACCATTTCTGATGGCTAAATTTAGGTTAGAATAGTCTTACATTGGTTACTTCCATGCTACTTTATTTACCTTGTATGTTGACCATCAAGGTATGAAAATATCTCACTGCCCATTCTGCTGTTTGCTGCCATGGTGTGACAACAGTGGTGGTTGGTGCAAGCATGCTCTTTAATTACAAAGAATTAACAATTGAGTTGGTAGAATATTTCACATATGGTAGCAAGAATGCATCCACTCCAGGGATTTTATTGACTTAAAATGTTTCGTCATATACTGATTCAGGAACAGGAAGCATTGAAATCCCTGTGCTCTGCTTACTTGTGAATGGAAAACCTAATAAACTTGAGGTAAGAAGCAAACTGTCTTATTTAAATTACACACATTTGGGTGCTCTTTAAGCAAATGACCCTAAGAAGCTGCTTGGGATCAAACACACACCTATACAAATAACTGTTCCAAACTGATATCCTATTGTGCAAGACTGTATATGTTTTCCAGTAATGTGGCCCCTTTATTTGGAAGAACTACAGTGCCATAAGAACAGTGAGCACACTTTCAAGGTCCTTGTAACCCTCCTTCTGTGGAGGAATAGAAAGGCAACTTAGGAAGTAAGTTAAACTGTTTATTTTACTGGGAAACATGACTGAGGCCTGAGGTTTCTTGATTTTAGGAAGGTGAGTTCCAGTAGTGGAGTCAGTCAGTCCAAAATCAAGATTAAGAAGCCACACATACATAGCAAGAGAACAAGTTAGCTCAGGAGTATCCACAGTCAAGTCCAAAAGACAAAGCAGATCAAAATAGATATAGTTCTATTGGGTAGTTTGACAAGCCAAATGCAAAGGACCTAAAGTTGAAGCCATATGTCAGTTCTGTATCAACAAAACAAACACAGCAGTCATTCAGGTATTTTAGGAATGCAAGGAGACAAGGATTATGTGCTGTGGATCAGTTGCCTTGATCAATTTCTAAGACTCTCACAAATGTTTCCATGCAGAATTTTCCTGCCATGCCCTCTGTCCAGTTGCAGCAGCTCAAAGGCTTTGCGAGGGATTCCAATTCACGAGGAATCTTCTTTTGTAGTCAAGTGCCTCTTCGAGGCAGCATCCCTTTGTTCTTTCTCTGTAAGATCACCACTCTTTGAGGGCTTATGGGGATTTCTGCTTTGACTCTGCTGCAGAACTCCCTCCATCCCTTCCCTCACCCTCAGCCACCTCTCAGACAGCCCAGGCTCCACACTATCCAAAATTTTATTCCCGATGTCTTCCCAGCCATCCAGCACAGAAAATGAAGGCTTACAGCAGCTGACTAACCTACTCCTACCTTCCTACAGTGGATGTACCAGGCTGACCACTGTATGATCTCATTTTGTTTTGTTTTCACTTTTAAACAGCGGATTTATAGAGGGATGGAAAATTCTTCCCCCTGGCTTATCCTGGCTGGTTCTGGTGGCATAGCTGACATCTTAGCTGCTGTAATGAATGAGCCCCACTTAATCGTGCCACAAGTGGTAGAAAAACAACTAAAAGAGAAATTCCCCACAGAAGATTTCTTGTGGAAGGACATTCTTCAGTGGACTGCAATGGTAAGGCTATTTCTTGCTAGAGACAACAAATTATTAACAATATATGGTGAACACATATCTACCTGATTATATCTGTAGGTCATGAGTGGGCAAATTCTGAAGATGTGGGGGCCTTTTTACAAAAAATCTTCTGTGGACTTTAAAATGCTGTATCCCCTCCACACACACCCCAATGGCCCCACAAATGGCAAACTGTGCTCGCAGAGGCCTTGGCTGGTGTGATTTACCATTTAAAAGCTTTGCTCGGTTTTCTCCAGATAGAGCCTTAGGGAGGGAGGGAGGGAGGGAGGGAGGGGTATTTTGGCTAAAGGTCTTTTTCAGTGACATGTAGGAAGTTGGCACTGGTGGGAGAATAAGCAACAGAATTTGGGATTTGAGAGCAGTAATACAGGCACAAGAGGCACTATGTACCCCAGCAAAAGTTTAGATAGTGTGAGGGACACAGAAGCAGAATAGGGATGTGGTGGCGCTGGTTACAATTGCATATCCAGAGATCTAAAACAAATCAATTAGGGAAAGGAGCCTTTATCTCACTAGGGACTTGCTCCATTTTAGAAATATGGCCAGTTATGGCACTTGACGTGGCAGGGACGTGGTGGCACTGCGGGCTAAACCGCAAAGCCTGTGCTGCAGGGTCAGAAGACCAAGCAGTCGTAAGATCGAATCCACGCAACAGAGTGAGCTCCCGTCGCTTGTCCCAGCTCCCGCCAACCTAGCGGTTCGAAAGCATGCAAATGCAAGTAGATAAATAGGGACCACCTTGGTGGGAAGGTAACAGCGTTCCGTGTCTAAGTCACACTGGCCATGTGACC